CTTCTATTGATTATACTAATTGAATCGAGTAAACTTATCTTGAGCTTGGCCTCGACCCATTAACCCTGTAGTTCATTTGACGGTCCCTATTTTCTTTTGCACTCATTTTCATCCTTCGACAGTTGACTTGATAGTCAGAGTACTAACTTTATTGGTCGACGACCTTTTGCACCCTAACAGGATGTTTTAGTGTGCAAGAAGCTTAAGTAGATGGCTAAGCTTTGTTGGTTGAAATTTGAGATTAATAAAGTCAAGTCATTGAATAAAATTATCAAGCGCGCTCTAGAATTTTACTGGAAATGATCATTGTGATCGTGACAAATATGTCAAATGGAACGACTACCATAACCCATAAAACACAAGATCCAAATTGTTTGAAACTCTAATAACAAGAAAATGTTACATAATAAAAAACAAGAGAAAAATTCAAAGATGCTAGGTAATGGAGATCCTAAAAGATATAAGGGTGCGTTTGATTGCAAGGGTGGAAAATTGGTGGAAAGAAAATATTTTACAGGGAAAAGATTTGCCCAGAAAATGTTTTGCAGGGAAAATGATTTCAAGTGTGTTTGATTGGTATAATTTTCCACCCGAAAATTTTTTAAATTTTCTATTCGTTTAGTTTAGTTTTACATGGAAATTGTCCATTAAAATGATATTTTTTTTCCACAATTGGTTATAAAATTTGTTTCCATTGCCAAAAGGTAAAAAAAAAAGGAAAAAAAAATTGTTTTCTAAAAAATTATTTTTTTCATCAAAATTTAGTATTCGTTTGACTTTGTTTTACATGAAAATTGTTCATTAAAGTAAATTTTTTTTACCATTAGTTATGACATTTGTTTCCATTGCACACAAAAAAAAAAAAAATTTTCTAACCAGCCTGGAAAATATTTTCCCACCAAAAAATCGAAAATTCGGAAATTGCTCACATGTGGGGAAAATCCGAAAAACATTTTTCGTGGAAAATTTCGCTTATCAAACAGCCAAAAAAGTGGAAAGTGGAAAATATTTTCCGACTTCCCTACAAAATGTGGCCTATTAAACACGGCCTAAGACTTTCAGTAATAAACTCTTAGATATTATTTTTATATTAAATTATTGCAATTTTATATTTTGAGACAATTTAGGTTTTTTTTCATTCGTGTTTCCGACTTGAATGACGAAAATTTTTCAATGAAGAGAGTAACTGCTTTGTATAAAAACACCTTCAATTGTTGAATAAAGAACAGTTTTCTCTCTAATTTCTTCAAATGTTTCTCTCCCCTTTTGATTTTCTTTCCTTTTTCTCCTCTCTTTCCGTAGTTTCTTCTCCTTTTTATTTTTCTTATGCAACCATAATTATTGTTGTGTGTAATGCATGATGCATCATTAGGTTTCCAGCAAAATACGAGTATAATAACCTACAAGAAGAGAAAATGGTTATGTATAACCTTGAAAATGATTATTATATTTTTACTAGTAAAACAAATGTAATAACCTCATAACTAATGTAAAATGCTATATTATACAAACTGTTAAGCCTCTAATTGTGAGAATCCGGATTGAAGACACCTAGTGCCACCGGCTCCCACACTCAACGTCACGCATATGAACAAAGCGTCACTTTGATTGACCTAAGTAACAAAGCAAGGAGTGTTGAGATACGATTTGGTGACTTGTGTGGTCAGGAAATTATCACCAGTACATTTGGTGACTTGGAAGAAACCGATGGTTGGGAGAGCAAAGCTTAATGTAGATGGAAGTAGTTTGGGAAACCCAGGCCAGGCAGGTGGAGGAGAAGTGATTCGTAATGATAAAGGAATGGTGCTGGCAGCGTTTGCCACTAATTTTGGGATAGCATCGAATAATGAAGCTGAGCTGAGAGCTCTGCTTGAGGGTCTTAAACTTTGCCAACATATAGGAGTTTTCCATGTTGATGTTGAATGTGATTCCAAGATTGTTGTAGAATGGATGTTGAAACGCAAGTGCACTGTTTGGTATTTGTGGGATTTTTGGGAAGAGTTATTGAATTTGATGAATTTATTTGAGATTCAGGTATCACACCAGTTTCGGGAAGGGAATCAAGTGACGGATTTACTAGCAAAAATGGGTGCACATGGAGTAATGCAACGTTTTACGTCTGGTATTGACTTGCCTATGTATGCTCGAGGCCTTGCACGGTTGGATCGCATTGGAGTTCCCTATATACGTAAGTGAGTTAATTTGTCTCGTTCTTCTAAGGTTGTAAGATTGTATTGTCCCACGGTTTTCCTCCGCCACAAGTGAATATTGACTTGCCTATGTATGCTCGAGGCCTTGCACGGTTGGATCGCATGGGAGTTTCCTATATACGTATGTGAGTTAAGTTGTCTCGTTCTTCTAAGGTTGTAAGACTGTTTTGTCCCACGGTTTTCCTCCGCCACAAGTGAGGGTTACTTTCAAAAAAAAAAAAAGTGTGTTGAGATACGAGCTGTCGAAGTGGTGAGGAGTCACTCTCATAGCAAGAGGTGCGGGCCTGCCTCAGATCTTCTAATCTTGAAATTTTCGCAGTTCGCTCAAACTACACTTAAAGGGGGTGAATAGGTGTAAATGCGGAATTAAAAATTGTAATTAACCAGTAACAAGTTACTAATTAATTATATTTAGATGATTAATCATACAGTCCAATTACCCTATGTTTGAAAACGGTAGAATATGAAAACAGTAAATAAAGCAGTAAAACACCCGCAGAGTGTTCATAGAGAAACCCCAGCTGAAAAAATTTCGAGTACTTTGCCAGTCAAAATTCACTATAAACGATTGAACTTACAGTCCGTCAGACAAGACGACGACACGAGCTTTCTGACCTCTTAATTGAAGTTAATACAGTCCTCCTGGATTGTGTGTCTCGCAACAACTCATGACTGAGATTCTGACAGCGCTTCTGGATTGCGTGCTCCTGCACCAACTCCTTGACTGCAATATCAAAGCCCTCTTGGATTCTCTAACCTTTGGCTTTGTGGATTCGCCTATCTCCTATAAATTCTTGAAGAACTCCGTGTTCCTTAGTTAGCATGGTATATGGATTAACCGAAACTAATGTTTTCTCCGCCAAATATAATCAAATCAACAAAGGTTGAAGTCTCTCAATAAATTGGAAGATGAAAAGATGAAGCTCTCAAGTTCTATCTATGTTTCAACCTTCTAAATTTACATTTTGTGATGTTCTGGTATTTATATGATAGTCGAGCGAGGACTCGACGACAATCTAGCGAAATTGCAGAGCCCTTTTTTGTCCTCTTTTGAATCTAATCATCAACTCTTAACAAAAAGCATTAAATGCTGCATTAAATAACCATCAACATATAACTACAGATTGATATCTAGGAAGGGACATTGATTGCTCTCACCATCAGATGAGGCCACGTGTCTCATCATCACATAGTCCCTATTTCATCTCAAATACTATATAAACCCATGCATTCGACCATCAAAATGTAAGACATTCTGACTTTGTCGAGTTATAGATTGTACCTTTTGTAGTCCTTCCGAACATTCACTTACTAACTTGATCATTGGAGTGTTTGTGATAGCCTCCTTCACCATCGGAAGAGGCAGCGAGCAACATACAGTGTGTTCCCTATGTGTTGGAGAAGTTCGTGTGGAGCATTGTGGAGTTGCAAGTTGATAGCCACGTGGGTACTTTTTTGAGGTCAACACAAACAACATTTGTAGAACCAATACAGTTACTTTCTAGATGTTAATAGCTTGTACGACTCAAGGGGTGAATAAATTATTATAATTCATTGCAAAAGATCTCATTCAACTTTTGTTGGGGAGTCTATATGTTGTTCATAGCCTAGGCTCCTTCCCTTGAATTGAGACGCAATAAGTACATTATAGGCATCGAATGGGTGGATTTTGAAAGATATGAAAGATCTCCCTCCACGTTGTACATACGACTTTCATTGTGACTCATTACTATTGTGATGTGATTTTTTCACGTTCCCTTATTTTTTATGTGATATGGAAAGTTATAATAATAATAATAATAATACTAATGTAGTGCTCTGTAATAAATCATCATTATGGTCGAAAAGAAGTTTTATTAAAAACATGAAAAAAAAATCCGAATAATTATTTACGAAAATCCTAGGGTAAAAAAAATTTGCACTATGACAAATAATGTTGATCATTCTATTTAATTTAGAACCTCAATAATGACAAGATAATATTAATCAAACTAAATTGCAATGAGAGTAATATGAAATATACACACAATGTACTAAATCGATAAGATCCAACGAATTTCATTATTCTAAAAATATATTGGTAAAATGAAGCCAATCCATGTGCTGATTGGACCAACTTTAATACATGCACCTCCCTTGTATACATGAAAGAAGCAACTACTCAAATCACATGAAAGAATAGACTCGTAACAAGTATAAATGCCAAAAGAGCAAAAAGACATAAATTTTGTCCAATCATGAAACTTTCTTATATTTTCCCACAAGATTTCGGTGAAGACAAAATAAAAAACCACCGACTTTTTACAATTTGTATTCATAATTTCATATACTGTTGTATAAGTCAAATAAGATAAGCTAAGAGGTATATTGTTTTTGAATCTCTCCCAAATGGTCTCAAAACAGCAACTAATATCAAATTGGCAAGTTGATTCCAATATAAAGCCAGCAAAAGTCACAACCTAGGATTTTGATTCCGTGTGTGCGCGCGCGATATGCTTATGTATGTTCGAGAGAGAGAGAGAGAGAGGGGGGCGTCCGTTGACAAAATAGCCGTCGAAGAGGGAAGACGAAAAAATCAGTCAACGATTGTTACACACGTGTACAGATGTGGGTGGTTGTACACATAAATCTACATCCTATCCATTTCATATTCCTGTCTATATAACCCCCTCTACCAAATGCATTCTGCTCATACTTCATATCTCATTTCACTAAAATTCTTGGTTTTCTTCTTAACAAGATATCAGAAAGAAATACAAATAATATAGTTATTCAGCCTGAGAATCAGCCATGGCAGGTGGAGGTTTTGCCACGTCGTCCGGCACGGGAGGCACAGAGTTCGAGGCCAAGATTACTCCTATAGTCATAATCTCTTGTATAATGGCTGCCACAGGAGGACTCATGTTTGGTTATGATGTTGGTGTTTCAGGTTAACTCCTAATCTTTTTTCAGATTTCTTTTTTTTTTCTAAACTATGTACTTCAGTAATTTTACTTTGTATTGACCTTTGATCTTCTTTCTCACACACAAACATTCATACACAATAATATACAACATATCATTACTCTCTGTAATCTGTATACGTATCAGAAAAACCCACATGTGCCTACAGGAAAGAGTTTGGTACACCTACCTTGTTTATTAGTAATATGAAAAATATTAAGTTCAGTAGGTTGCTGTTCTCTAAAAGATCGACACAGGTTGTCGAGCCAGTGTCGTATTCATGGTGGTCCGAACATTGTTCGCGCAATCCTTGACTACAAAAACTCACGTAGATGTTTAGCATACATTTAGTATGGTCCAGTGCTATTATTTTTCGAACGTACCAACTTATTCGTAGTCAAGTAAAGAAAAAAGGCACTCTTTAATATGGCTCTGTCATTTTCTATTGTAATACAGGTGGTGTTACATCAATGGATGGTTTCTTGAAAAAATTCTTCCCAGTGGTGTATAGGAGGACAAATGACGGAGGAATAAACAGTAATTACTGCAGATATGATAATCAAGGGCTACAATTATTTACATCTTCGTTATATTTGGCCGGTTTAACAGCAACTTTCTTTGCTTCATACACAACAAGAAGGCTTGGAAGGAGACTAACTATGTTAATTGCTGGGATTTTCTTCTTAATTGGTGTCGTTTTTAATGCTGCAGCTCAAGATCTTGCCATGCTTATTATTGGCAGGATTTTACTTGGATGTGGTGTTGGTTTTGCTAATCAGGTCATTTCTAAATTCTGCTATTTCTGTTTTATAAAATAATAAATTCTTACGAAGAAAATACGAAACCTTGAAAAAATTTCGTGTGCCCTTGTCGTTATAATAGTTGTTAGTTGATCAATCTTTGTACTGCATTGGTGAAGTAATAGCGTACGATAAATTTTAGTTATTTGTTAGTTATAGTCGAGCCTAATATATCATAATTGTTTTTATTATCTTACATTCATAGCTGTCGTTTTTTTATAATAAACACGAGTTATAACTCAATAAAAAATATCTTACACACGTGATTAAGATTTCAGTATAAAAAACAAAGCTTTTTAGCTTGAATTTCTTACAAAAACAGGTGGATTTTGACTTATATTGAATGAAGATTAAAATATTACTATACTTACATGACCACACTTACGTGAAATACTCGATCATTTGATGGTGGAAAAATGCTGATGATATATAAACTTGACTTTATATAGCTCGCAATCTTCTAGATTAGTTAAATTTTATGTTTTTTCACTGAAGATAATGTTGATCATACGTCTTCTCTTAAGTTTATGATTTAATATTATTTTTGCATTAATAAATAATTCACCTGCTTTGTGGATGCATGTACTTATTTTTATGGTGTTATTTGCTAGAAAGATGATAGTGTAACGTTTTGAGAAGCCAACTTTACTATAATATTTTAAATTTCAATCGCTTGCAATTATATAATGCTACACGTATTCATCTGACTTTGCCAGTCAAATCTTATGAGCTTTCAATATTGTGTTTGAATTTCAGGCAGTTCCCCTGTTCTTGTCAGAGATTGCACCAACAAGAATACGTGGTGGCCTCAACATCTTATTTCAACTTAACATCACCATTGGCATTCTGTTCGCCAACCTTGTCAATTACGGCACTGCAAAGTAAGTCTCATCCCTTGTATTTAAAAATACAATAGTTAATGAACAAGTTTTGAGTGTCATCACAACCGTGGTGTGTATCTGAAACCCATGTTTGGTAGATATTAAAATCAAATTTTTTAGTAAATTTTGATAAAAATTGATGAAATATTTGATTGAAAAGTTGTGGGTCTCATGAAATGTGTAGTTAAAATTTATTGTTGACTTTGACTTAAAATTTTAATTGAATTTTAATCCAAACAAAATGGGGCTAAACTTATGTTCTGAATTATTTTATTTTTTAGTCAAAGTACCACAAAGTTTGATCCGACTACTTCATATTTCTTGTCATAATCGAATCTTATCATAAATTTGTCGGCTCCTCGAATTCGTCTTCATTCATGAATTTTACCAAAACCAGTGTTAAGAAAATCACGTCCCTCATCCGTGTCTTCATTTGTGTCCGAAGGATTCTCTCCTAGGAGTAAGCTTACCTACTAGTTTAATTATGCTCAAGCATTCTTATTTTGGAAGGGAAGTTGACTATCTAATTCATTTTTGTTTGTCTTTTTCATGTTCTTGACTCCATTAGTATTCTTAACCTATATATTTCTGTTGATCGCAGAATTAAAGGAGGATGGGGTTGGAGGTTGTCACTTGGGTTGGCTGGAATTCCTGCCTGTCTCCTTACATTAGGTGCCCTCTTAGTAGTCGACACTCCGAACAGTCTCATCGAGCGTGGCCACTTGGATGAAGGAAAAGCTGTGCTGAGAAAGATACGAGGAACGGACAATATTGAACCTGAATACTTGGAGCTTGTTGAGGCAAGCCGTGTTGCCAAACAAGTAAAACACCCTTTTAGAAATCTACTCCTGCGAAGAAATAGGCCTCAATTAGTTATTGCTGTCGCCTTACAGGTATATATATATATATTAGCAAGCAATGCCTCGCTTGTGTACATACACAGTTCCGTGTTGAAACTTCACTTAATTGTATTTTATTTTAATTTTTTTGAATGCTTGTTGCAGATCTTCCAGCAATTCACAGGAATCAACGCGATAATGTTCTATGCACCAGTGTTATTCAACACCCTTGGATTTGGCAACGATGCATCCCTATATTCAGCTGTCATTACTGGAGCTGTCAATGTACTCTCCACTCTTGTTTCAATTTACTCAGTCGACAAATTGGGACGTCGAGTTCTCTTGCTAGAAGCTGGAATCCAAATGTTTCTCTCTCAAGTTATAATTGCTGTCGTATTAGGCATCAAAGTTACTGACCATTCGGAGAACCTTAGTAAAGGCTATGCAATATTTGTAGTGATTATGGTTTGCACATTTGTGTCTGCCTTTGCATGGTCTTGGGGGCCTCTTGGATGGCTCATTCCTAGTGAAACATTTCCCTTGGAAACTCGTTCGGCAGGGCAAAGTATTACAGTTTGTGTTAACTTGCTGTTCACTTTTGTGATTGCACAAGCCTTTCTCTCAATGCTGTGCCATTTCAAGTATGGAATTTTCTTGTTCTTCTCCGGATGGGTTTTCATAATGTCGTTGTTTGTGTTATTTCTGGTTCCTGAGACTAAGAATGTACCAATTGAGGAGATGACGGAGAGAGTTTGGAAGCAGCATTGGCTCTGGAAGAAGTTCATGGATAACTCCCTGGATCAGGAAAGGGGAAGTGGTGAAGAGAATGTCAGGAAAAATGGACCTGTCACTGGTTTTGATCCTAATTCTCAGTTATAAAATTTGCAGAAAAAGTCTTTTGTGGTATGATATAAAATTTAAGTATATAAGCAGATTGTAGTCGATTGAAATATGTTGAATTGAAGCATTTGAATAAAAAATTTGTTGGTTTATTTTTTATTTGAATAAAAAATTTGTTGAGAGTTTTTCTCAATATATATCAGTGTCAATTATTTGGTTTTCTCTTTGAATTGATGAACCGTTCATCTCCAATTCTCGAGTAGAACTTACCAGTCTTTTTACCTATCCACTATTAGTTGATTCCAGAGTCGTAGTTTCCAAAATCCTGTTCTCACTGACCGCTATTTAAAAAAAAAAAAAAATTATTAGATTTTTCATAACTTGTGCACTATTTTTCCAAAAATCTAATTCTTGACTATTTTTAGGGAATCTAAACTGACAAATTCAAGCCCGGAATTCTAGTTTATGATAAGAGGTTATAGAGTCTCTTCGACTGATATGTCTTAAAACGAGAATTTAACGGGCAGTTTTCCAAAATGTTTTCGTAAATTGTGGTGAAAGAACTCATATACGTTTAATATCCACGAATTTATCCGAAGTTGGAGTGCCTAAACTTAGTTAAGAAACCACTATAAAGGGCCCCTTTGCATGAAGATTACAAAAAATAAGCCATCTTTTTTATTGGGAGAGTCCGAGGCAGAGAATCTTATAATTATCTTTGGCTCCACTCTCCCTTGCACCTATGTAAACAGGTGGCGAAGTCATTCAAATAAATCGAGTGTGTGTACAATCTTTCTCATAATTTAATTGATGTAAAATATATCGACTGAATCTTTGCATTTTCCAAAAAAATTGTTGGACATTTTGGAAAAGTAAAAATGGTGAGCAAAGGTGAAGTTTTCAACTCTAAGATTACGGTTTACGTGTTGGCATGTTGGCTCCTTGCGGCCTTTGGAGGCCTAATGTTTGGCTACGACATTGGTATTTCAGGTTTGTTGATATGTACACACTCATATATTCATTTATACAACATTATAGAATATAAATTCTGCACATTGAAGAGATAATACAATTATGGGATTAATTTAACATAAATCAATATTGTATCTGATAATTATTATAATTTTGAAATAGGTGGAGTTACTGGCATGGATGATTTTCTGATTAAGTTCTTCCCTAAAATTCATGAGAGAAAGCTTCATGCAGCAGAAAATAATTATTGTAAATATGATGACCAATTGCTACAGCTTTTTACATCTTCCTTGTACCTAGCTGCCCTTGTATCCAGCTTTGGCGCGTCGAAAGCGTGCAGTATTTTAGGACGCAAGCCCACTATTTTCATGGCTTCAGCGTTTTTTATTGCTGGTGCCGTGTTTAGTGCAGCTGCTGGGCAGAAATGGGTGCTCATTCTAGGTAGAATTCTATTTGGGATTGGAGTAGGATTCGGAAATGAGGTATGTCCCATTGGCAATCTTAATCTATAAGATTTAGCTTCTTTTTCTGTTTTTTTAAAAACTTTTTAGTATTCCTCGATCCACCTTATTCTACACGTATCAAGATACTTTAGTGCATTCTCCGAAAATTGCAGGCTGTTCCTTTATTTTTGACAGAAATTGCACCTGCACAGCATAGGGGGGCAGTAAACATTCTGTTCCAACTCTTTGTAACCATAGGAATTCTAGTTGCTAACCTGGTGAACTATGGAACATCTAACATGCATCCCAATGGATGGAGAGTATCACTAGGCCTGGCAGCAGTTCCTGCATTCATTTTACTTATAGGTTCTTTGATCATAACCGAAACTCCACCTAGCCTTGTTGAACGTGGCAAAGAAACTCAAGGAAAAGCAGCACTTAAGAAGATCAGGGGTGTTGACAACGTCGATGCAGAATTTCAGCAAATCATTCTAGCCTGCGAACAAGCCAAAAAAGTCCAGAAACCATTCAAGAAACTCTTCAAACGCGAAAGCATGCCCCCTCTAATCATTGCCATTTCTCTGCAAGTCTTCCAGCAATTCACCGGGATTAATGCCATTATGTTTTATGCACCAGTCTTGTTTCAAACACTTGGATTCAAGAGTGATGCTTCGTTGTTGTCCTCGGTTATCACAGGTTTAGTGAATGTTGGAAGCACTTTTGTGTCAATTTTCGCTGTTGATAAGGCTGGAAGAAGGAAATTACTTCTGCAAGCTTGCGTTCAAATGTTAATCTCCCAGGTACGTTAATTTCCTGTACTTACACCTGAGACTATCCATTTCCTATGATTAACATCAACAACAAACTAAGATCTGTTCATAATCAAATTATGGTTGGCTGTGTTCGATTCATTCTAGATATACAGAAAGATCCAAATCAGCAAGATTCATGTCAACCACAAGCCACATTACTTTAGTATATCCTTTCTTTTTCTCATATGTTCTGCCAAGTTCACATCACTCTTATAAATTAAATCTTCTTCAAGTGCATGCAAAACATGTTTGAACCACTCAATTAATCCTCCCCTTAATTTATCTCATCAATATTGACATATTGTGATCATTTCTACTTGTTCGTGTATATCTTTAGATTAACACCCAATTTTAAAAAAGATTCAATCAAAGTGAAAGTAATCTTAACTATGTTGTTTTGTGATTACAGCTTGCAATTGGATGGATTTTACATGTCCACTTGAAGGAAACAGGTTCACTCGACAAGACTCTTGCAGCCGTTGTGGTGGTACTAGTGTGCACATTTGTAATGTCGTTTGCATGGTCATGGGGTCCTCTTGGTTGGTTAATTCCAAGTGAAACCTTCCCAATGGAAACAAGAACAGCTGGATTTGCCTTTGCAGTGAGCTCAAACATGATTTTCACTTTCATCATTGCTCAGGCATTCCTGTCAATGTTATGCCACCTGCAAGCATACATTTTCTTCTTCTTCTCTGCTTGGATTCTTGTAATGGGGATTTTTGTTGTATTCCTATTGCCGGAGACCAAGGGCGTCCCAATCAACTCTATGGTTGAAACAGTATGGAAGCAGCATCCAGTGTGGAAGAAATTCTTCGAGGATGAAGTTCCCAAGAGTCATGAGATGGCCTGAACATACATACATTCATTCAAGGATAATGTTTTTGAAATCAAATCTTTTTATCCTCTTTGCTTTGTATTGCAATGTGTAAAATTGAATTATAAGTGTTATGGTACATCGATTGTGCTACATGTACATAACAACTTATGTAATGATTTATCAATATATAATGTGTCGAGATTTAATTGAATCAAGATCTCATCATTATATAAAATATTATCTAAATAGTTATGTACAAGAATCATTTTCCTAAAAATAATAACCACCACACTAAAAGAAAAAATTGCTTTTAATGGCCACATTTATTGTCGTCAAAGGTTATCACAACAATTCTTAAATAACTACTAAATTACTAACTAAAGTGATTAAATTGTAATGCCTTCAATAAATTATTTAATAATTAAATATTAATATGTAATATTCCAAATGGTAAAATTATTACTTTTATAAACAGTATCGTTTAACTTTGAGAAATTTCTACAGTTCAAATAAATATCTTACACATATTATTCGAATACTTGTGTGAGATAAAAATGAGTTGTTCAATAGAGTAATGTTATGTAGTTTCACTGGGGATACAATTTCAGTTTAGGTGACACTAGATGATATGTTAAATGAAATGTAGAATTAAATAACTTATTTAATTCTACTATCATTAAATGTCACGTTAACGCTACCAATAAATCACTGGTTTGATCAACAAATTATAGAACGGTACTTACATCTCACTAAACATATACTAGAGAGACTATATTAAGCTTAGAGATGATTGATTTTTCAATTGTAACATATTTATATCTTAGTTATGAAAATAATAGGTTGTCTAATGTATTAAAGTTCAACACAAATTTATGAACTGTTCGAACATGGTATTCGATTCAATTAATATACACGTACAAGGAAATTTTATTATACTTGGTTCATCGTGCTCAACCCGATAGGAGCGGTCACTCAATATCCTTACACATTTTTGTGAAACTTTCGCATTTTTCCATCGATGTCCTAAGCATTCTAATCTTTAAACGTCGAGGTGTTGTCGATATGGAATTTGATCATGCTACAACTCTTTAATTCTTTCACAAAATACACAATTAATTTAAATTAAATTATTTTTTCAAAATAATAAAAAAAAAATAATTATATGTTGTTATTTAGAATAATAGAAATTATTGTTATCGAAACATGTATTTACTCTACACATTTTTCATTAATTGTTTACTTAAAAGACTTTGATTAACAGTGATTAGATTAAAATGGTGCTTTGGTTGAGATTAAAATTAAATTTTTAGTAGATTGTGATAAAAGTTTTTGAAATGTGTGATTGAAAAATTGTGGGACCCATAAAAGATGTGGTTAATATTGATTATTTGACTTTGACTTGGATTAAAATCAGATTTTAATCCGGACCAAACATGAGCTAAATGTTCAATACATGATCGTCAAAAAAAGAAAGGGGTGGGGGGGGTGGGAATTCAATATATGTTGCAATATAGATTAAATAAAATAGAGCATGTAATTCAAAAATTAACAAAGAAAACCATGTTGGAACATGTCATCTCACCGTCTCGGGAAAAAAATATTCATCCTTTGAATCTCGCTTTCATCCTAAGGTTTTGGACTTCAGTAGGAGGTAGGGATGAAGCCAGCACCCGATGAACCCCTGTGATCGTTCGTGCTACCTCCACTGGAATTTTTTTCCCCTTACATTAGGCCCGTGCCCATATGAATTCCTAGATCCATAACCATGGCCGACAATCACTTTAACCATGCCGATCTCTTCTACTTCCCTACCCCAACTAAGACTATAGATATTCAACCTCCTTTGCCACACTCATATGTAGATGTTACAAGCTTCATGCAAACCGGGGTGTTGACACTCTCTCGGGGTCAATGGAACCCCACGTTTTGCACAACCGGGGTGCCCCATTTGAAGGTTACTTAAGTTCTCTTTCTAGCCAAGCAAATAGCTTATATAAGGGTCTTTCAAAAGATATGCAATATTCCAAGTGAAATAGGAGCCCCTATTTATACGGTGAGATTAGGAGAATTAATATCTTTAAATTGTATGTGGCCTTTATTGAGGTGTTTGGCAAAATTTTATTGACACTAGTTTTTGCAGAATTATCCAAATTGTAGAGTCTTGCAATCATCCCTATCCCACTTTCAATATTTTCCTTTGTAGCATTAAAATGCCTTATTGTCAATATAAATAACACCAAGTTTACTATTTTTTTTTCTAAAAATCCTGGGTTGCTATAGGTCCGGTCCAAGATTTTGAAGTGTGTGTGGCTAGGCTTGGATCGTATTTTTAGATGGACTAGTTCAAACCTACTATAGGTGTGAACTGGTCATACAATCATGTGAATTTGTCCAAGTTAGCCCACTAATTTCGACACATTTTAGTCAAGCATTCTTTCGGCCTGTTTACTTCAAAAAGGTGTAGGATTATTCCTCTGCAAATTAAAGTGTGTTTAAAAAAACATTAAACCTAGATGCTTTGCACGCAACATAAAATACTCCCATAAATAAACTGTCAACAATTGCACGAAACTGACAATTATATGCCGAGATTGTTTTTATGATGGTGTCCTGTTGAGCTGCGATTTAAAAATCTGTACGTTGTATTTCTGTAAAGCTAACCCAGGATCTACTATCAATCTCATAGCCTACTTGGAGTGGGTATGGATATTTATAATCTTTACTCATGATGCAGTATGCAGGAATATTAGGTTGAGACATTGAGTTTACATTTTCGAATTGTACAAGTGAGACCACTAGGTATGTGAAAAAGGTGAGAATTTATTGAATACAAAATTGGGTTTCCATAGTTGTCTAAATTTTAGGTAATATTCCATGCTAATCAATGAGTTCAAAATCTCGACATTCTTTGGGAATTAACGAGTTTTTATGCCTACTTCTTAGTATTAATGAGTAAATCAACGTGAACTATAAGTTTATTTGTCACGCGTGCATAGGTTCCTTCTTACATCACCTTCTCCACTGTATTGTTGAAACCTTCACACATAATATAACTAATTTCCTTGGTAATTCCAGTGTTTACTATTGAAAAAATATAACTTCTATGTGCTTGCAGGCGTTAGGCTGCATAAAAAAGTAAACTATCAGTAATTCAATGAGAATAACAGTTATATGCAAAGAGAACTCAAGATGGTTCCCTAGTGGAGATGTGGTTCATTGAACCATTAATTGACAGTCACATGCAAGTGTGGGAATTTTTGTTTGCACTTTCCCAATATGAAATTGACAGTCACATGCAAGGATGATATTCGATGCAGTCTTTCCGTAAAGATAACCTAGGACCTTAATCTCAACTTGTTATTTTTTAATGTTTTGTGGGCTGGATGCATGAATGTTGTCTAACCCACCTTGAAATTTGCAACAGAAGACCATTTGGTCAGTGATTAAAGTCACGTCATTTATGGTTGGGAATGACAGGTGAGATGAGTGTTTTAAAAATCGGATTATCCCCGTCGATTCAATCGGAAAACTCGAGACCAAAATCGGTCTGCTAATCTTATAAAACCTCTAATTAAAAAATCGTTCCAAAACCTGTTAAATCGACCGGCGTTTGGAAAACTCATGACTTGTTCCCAGTTTAACCGGTTCAACCTATATAAATGTATATATTTTTAAAATTTTTAAATGTATTTTTTTTTAAAATTTTTGTAAATATATATTTTTAAATTTTTTAAAAATCACCGATTTGATCCCGGTTCGACCCGATTCGACATTTTATCCCTTGACCCTTTTCTCTTTTTCAGATCGAAGATCGGGCCAATTTTCAAAACATTGGGTGAGACTGTAGGAGTTCCAGTTCAAATATATGAGATTTTATTAGAAAACTATGATTGATGTAACATTAATACCGTCATTCTCTTTGTGACTCAACATAGAGAAGTTATACAAATTCTTTGTATATGTTTGTAATCAAAATCTGTCAACCTCCAAAATGGTCTTGAAAAACTATTCAAGAACGCTAAAGCATGTTTATGTATAAAGGGTCGGGGAACTCCCGATTGCACCTCTAATGCTCAAATCATGCTTGTGCGAAATTATTAAATAATTAAATTTTGGAGCGTGTATTTGAAATGTAAATTGTAGTTTGCTCGAAGAGACTATAGAATCCTCTATATATTTATAATCACGGTAGGTCCCACGTGATACAACTTATCCATCTTATAATAATTTTACTACGAAACTCTAATATCGAGATTTGATCTATCTAATTTTCATTCACAACACTTTCTTAATTTCTATCCTATTTATCAAATTGCCAAGAAGAAACTTATTTGAAACAAAATATTAGTAAAAACTACAAGTAAATAAACCAGATAAAAAAAAATGTATCTGCACAACTTTCTTAGAATTTTCTATTATTTATGATTAGTTATATGAAGAACTTGCTCATAATAGAAAGGGAATGACGGCGCTAACATGGTGGTCCAAAAGATATGCTCTTGTAAGCAGTATGAACTGGATTTTATTGTCTTCTTTAAATAAAGCTAATAAAAATACTTAAAGGAGATAAACTTAGAATGCCAACTTTCTAAATCCAATCAGATGAAAAGGGAAAAGCTGAGAAATTCTAAGTTGAACAAATATTCTTGAATGGAGTTGCTTTAAAGATGGATTCTGATGCGAAATTGATATTAACTGTACATTAGTAAGCATGAGAAATCTTAAGTTGCCATTACTCTTCTAGGAATTAAATTTTTCAAAAGATACTTTCTTGAATTCAATTCCAGTGCTAATCTGAGTGTATTCTGATGTATGTGGTATCTAATTCTCTAAGACTTTGTTCTAAATAAAATTAAATTCGACCAATATTTAAATCTTTTCCGTCACTCAGTTGACAATCTTTAATAGAAAGAGATGATGCGAAAATTGGCACACTCTACCTCCGAAGCTCAGCATTTAGTATTTAATTCAAGAAAAATCAAACCCACACAGATGGTTTTTGATGCAAAGTAATGTCCTCTAGCTCTTAGTGG